CTTAAATATAGGAACAAAGAGCTTAAAACAATTTTTTTCCATTTAAGCCCTTTTTGTTGACATTGTCCGTACTTCTCGAGGCTGTATAGAGGCATTTTCATTTCTCAGAAAATAACAAAAGAAAAACTTCTGAAAAGAAAATTTTGCAATTTAAGTAAATTTTTAGAGTAGTTTCTATATAAGGCCCACGACAGAAGTTTGAAAGGAACAACTCTAGTTTAGTAAAAACGACCCGATTTCTTTGAAATATTTTTCCAGAGGTAGGTGTTTTTTACCATATATATGGGGATATACTTTTTCTTAGGAGACATATCGGGTTACCCGGTTATTTAACCCTGGATACCCGGGTACCCGGTTCTACGGAACTGATTTGATAAAAAGTAACAACTCTAGTTTAGTAAAAACAATCCGATTTTTGAATTTTTTTCTAGAGGTAGATTTTTATATCCTACACAACTATGTTGTCAGGGTTTTATAGCTTAGTGCAGCCCCAAAAGTTTGTAACGCCGCAAAATATTGGTCCTAGACCCACCATTAAGTATACCGATCATCATATCTCGACTAGCTGAGTCGATCTAGACATGTGTGTTCGTTCGTCCGTCTGCCCATTATAATTTGTAAACACGATACAGGCCACAGTTATGGACCAATCTTCACGCAAGATCGGTTAATATTTAGGGAATGAAATGGACCAAAAACTTTATATTTGTCTGATTTTCTGGTCTCTCCAGAGGCCGCAATTATGGCCCAAACATCACGAATTTTTACATGGAGAAGGGGATCGGGCCTGTTTTCATATAGATCGGTCAATATTTAGCGGATCAAATGAAACCTGACTTTTGTATGAAAAAATACAAAATGTGTATTCTATAGCGTATATATTTACTGCTGAAGGACATAGACCTAAGAAGTTGATTGTATATCCAAGAGGAGTGGTTGACCTTTAAATTGATACACAATTTTATTGTCGTATGTATTCGGGTGTGGGAGTTACACTTAAATATTTACAGGTGCTTACGTATTCAGATATTATCTAGTAACCCATTACCACACTAAAGGTCGGAAATATAGCGCTGATCGTTTTGAAATGTTTCATGAGGGCCAAGGGCAATGCCGCCTATAGTTTTCGGTGATGATCAGATAATAATTTTGGGATGAAGTGGATCGAAAACTTAAATTTTTGTGTGTGTTTTTTTTTTCTATTCGAGTCGATATAGCCTACAATTATCACAACACAACCCATGGTGAAGGGAAGAATATGGCCAAGTACATAGAAGAACTGTACTGAATATTAGTAACTATCACGAAATATTGCCAGGCTCGGAATAAAAATCGTCAGATGGTTGGTAGTTGTGTAAGGTTGGCCCTGCCCGATTATACTGCTCCGCTCACTGGTTTTTACTCTAATTATGGGGATATATACCCGTTTATAAGGTTTTTTTTTCACCCGGACGTTCGGTTCTACGGACCTAATTACAAAAAAAAATTAATTTTAAAGTTTATGAAAATACCTTTCCATTTAGTTGTGATATGAACGGTTTATCTCAAACCTTTTGGGTTATACCGGCTATGCGAAAGAATTTAGTTAGTTTTTGTAGGATTTTAAGGACCACATCTTTTGATCCACCACAGATACAGCCACATATCGCACCATTTTGGAAAGTCTATCATTTGAGTTATGGAGATTTGAGCCAACCATTCTGACTATTTTTGAGGCTCCCGCCGCATTTTCCAACCTGTTATATGGCATTCCAGATTAATGCAGTGTAAAAATACTTGATCGCCTAAAATTTGCAATATAGTATCATAGCTCCCATGTTAGAGGTCTCGACTAATTTTAGGTATTTTAAAGGCCCTATTCTAACATTCCAAGCGAAAGGGATGTAATTTTCGAATTTTGTATTCGTGAAGAATATAAGATTTTATTGCAGTCAATTTTTGGTAAGTATAAGTCCGGTGGCTCTCATGGCATAACTATAAAAGGTAGATCATGCAGTCATATGTTTCCAATTTTTTCATAAATTTGATTTTGACAACATTCTACATTCAAAATTGAAACGAAAATATCTTCCTTCGAAATGTACGCAAATCTTGTGTCCAGTGGCAAAGTGTTTTTGAAAATTTGCCAATCGCCTTGCGTAACATTTTTTTTTTGTAATATTTGTATTTTCATCATATATTTTCGTATTCCACGATCCACCCTAATATGTAATTATCACGATTTAAGTGTTTTTTCTTTGGAATAATATATCTTTCAACAGTCCAAAAAACAGCATTGTTTTTATTTCCACATGTTTTTATACCCTTCACCACACTGTGGTACAGGGTATTATGTCTTTGTGCATATGTTTGTAACAGGCAAAAATAATCGAGATAGACCCATGGTTCCTTTTGAGAATATGCATAGAATCACTTTCTGAATCGATTTATGCATGCCCGCCTGTCCATCCGTTCATGTATTTTTGTGAGCAAATTACAGGTCGCATTTTTTTTGGCCCAAGGACGAACACTATTGAAATTGGGAAAAATCGGTTCAGATTTAGATATAGCTCCCATATATATTTTTGCCCGATTTACGGTCTTTAGACCCTGAAAATCTTTCGATTTGCACGAAATTTGGCATAGCGTACTGAATTGAGCCACGAAAGATGTGTGCCAAGTTTCGTGAAAATCGGTTCAGATTTATATATAGCTCCCATATATAGTTTCGCCCGATTTACGGACTTTAGACCCTGAAAATCTTTCGATTTGCACGAAATTTGGCATAGCGTACTGAATTGAGCCACAAAAGATGTGTGCCAAGTTTCGTGAAAATCGGTTCAGATTTAGATATAGCTCCCATATATAGTTTCGGCCGATTTTTGGTAAATGGCGTACCAAAGTCCCTATATATCTTTCGATTTGCACGAAATTTGGCATAGCGCACTGAATTAAGTCTAGAATGATGTGTGCAAAGTTTCGTGAAAATCGGTTCAGATTTAGATATAGCTCCCGTATATATCTTCCTCCGATTTAAGGTAAATGGTGTACCAAAGTCCTTATATATCTTTCGATTTGCATGAAATTTGGCATAACGTACTGAATTGAGGCTAGAATGATGTCTGCCCAGTTTCGCGAAAATCGGTCCAGATTTAGATATAGTTTCGTCCGATTTCATGTAAATGGTGCACCAAAGTCCCTATATATTCATGCTAGTCAGGTTGACATCAAATTTTGCACAACGTACAAAATTGAGCATAGAATTACGTAGTTGCGTTTTCTAGAAGTACAGACATAGCCCAACAGATAACCTATTTATATTTGATTGAAGTCGATTTATATAACTTATGGATATATAGGTAGATTCACATTTAGATAAATATCACATATTTTATTTCATCCAATTTCATGTTAATAGTCCCGTTTAATATATCCATAGTGGTGAAGGGTATCATATAGTCGGCCCCGTCCGACTTTACTACTTTCCTTACTGGTTTTTCTTTTGAATTTTTAGGCGTTATTTCTCACAGTTCAAATGACTCCTACTACTCGTCTTTTCAAATAATATCCAAAATTTTTTTTTTTTATTTTTTCTTTGGTAAATAGAAAAAAACTTGTTTCTTAACATTTCCGCAATTTTTTAATAAAAAAATAAATTTAAATTGATAACAATACAAAAACAACAAGAGCGGCAAGAGAATTTAAGCGGCCTTAAATTGTTTGCAATTGTAAACAAAAGTACGTATATCAACGATATAATATTCCCCCAGTACCACCTCCCACTACCCTACAAACCACCGGCCTAGCTCTTTTTTTATTTATTTACTTAGAACGCGTACGTACAACACAACAAAAGGCAGAATATAAACAAATCATTTCATTTGCTTTGCTTCACCCATTTTTTGCGTTTGAGAATTTGAATATTTTTTTAATGAACTCTACAGCAGCAACAACAACAACAACAAAATGTACTTTGTTGAGGTAGATGGGGATGACTCAAAATTAAGGCAGTAGCAACAACAACAACAAATTTTGTTATTGAGGCGTTGTCGGCATTTAGAATAGAAATAGAATTTTTTGTACTAGGAGTGCCACAAAAAAACATTTTGAAATTTTTTTATATAAAAAAATTAATTCCTCTCCCCTACTTTTAAAAATTAGCATATCTAAAATTACCCCCTAAAGAATTTATACCGTGGATTTAGTCAACCACACACAACTCCATAAAAGGGGGGTTATTAAAAAAACCCCACTCTTAAAAAATAACCAAAAATTCCCCAGAAAAAATTAGTTCATTTACTTGAGTTCAATTCAAGTATTTTCTGGACTACAATTTGGAAATTTAAACATAAATGATTAACGCCTTGATTCAAATTTAATCACACAATTCATCTGTGCCCCCTCCCCCTTGTTAATCAAACAAATCAGCAGGTGAGAAGACCACTATATGTCGTCGTCATCGGTGGCGGCGGCGGCAATCAAAAGATGAATCAGATGCAAGGAGACTGTGTGCTGCTGCCTTGTCTAGTAAATTATCATGGCCACTTCAAAAGAAATTCAGTTTTTTTCTCTTTCTCTCCCCACTTCTTATTTGAAAAAAAATCCAATCTAATTTTGGATATAATATGTAGTCCAATTTTTTTGTATATAGTATTTCGCCTTGTTCTTCTCTATGAACATTTTCTCCACAAAGGGTTTCCATATGTTGTTTTGTTATTGTTTTTGGTGTCAATTTTACTTGTTGTAGTTTTTCGTTTTTTTGTTTTTTATTGATGACATCACCATCATTATTTCCACTTTCTCTTTATATAAAAATCATCTATATTCCATTTAATTTCATCACTATTCCTTTTAAATTCATTAAAACATTTTGTTTTTTGAAAGAGTAAAAAAACAACATTGTTAATGAATTCTTAGCTAAATTCTCGAAACACCAATAAAGTGCCATAGAATATATAAACAACAATCAGGCACACACACACATATATATATCTCAATAGAAAAACAACAAAATAACACACGCACCTACGGAAGAGCGAAATTCAACAGTACGACCGTTTCACAACGCTTTTAATAAATGACTGAGCGTAAAAAGTCATATGGCAATAGTTGTCGTAGTCGTCGTCGCCGCCGACAAATGCCGACACATTCTATTGAATGAATTGTTTTTGTTTTAAGTGTGGTATTAGCAAGGGAGGGAGTGATAACAATATGGCGTTTTTTGCATATTGCTCTTCTCAGTGTATTTTGACGGTTTTTAATGCTGGTGGCAAACAGTCTTGTCACAATATACAAACAACAGGGTGACTTGTAAATTAAATTACTAAAAAGTCATCAAATAAATGAGCAGCAATCAAACACAGACACACACATATATTGCTATACAAAAACGTGCGCACTTACGGTAGAGCGAAAAATAGTGGATCATAAAATCATACGGCAATACCGATTGTTTATATTTTAATACAGAGAGGGAGTGATAACGAAATGTCGTTTTTAATGTACTTCTCTTTGGCGGTTTTTAATTTTATTAGTAACCCTGTTGTTTGTTCATGGTGCAATGCGTGCATGTCACAATATATAAACAACAGGGTGACTTGTAAAATGTTATTACTACAAGTAATCAAATAAATGAGCTGCAATCAAAAACAGGCACACACACATATATCGCTATACAAAAATGTGAGTAAAATCATACGACAATGGTCACCGACTACCGATTGTTTTTTTTACACAGAGAGGGGGTGATAACAATTTGGTGTTTTTTACGTCTTTCTCTTCACTGTATAATTTAACGGCTTTTAATTGTGTCGCATATAAGGCATGTCACAATGTACAAACAACAGGGTGACTTGTAAAATTAAATTAATACAAGTCATCAAATAGTTAAGCAGCAATCAAACAAAGGCACACACACACATATATTGCTATACAAAAACGCGCGCTCCTACGGAAGAGAGTGAAAATTAAAAAAATAGCGGATCGTAAAATCATACGGCAATAGTCGCCGACAATTACCGATTGTTTTTGTTTTAATACAGAGAGAGAGAGAGAGAGTGATAACAATATGGTGTTTTTCTTACGTCTTTCTCTTTACTGTATATTTTAACGGCTTTTAATTGTGTGGCATACAGGGAATGTACAAACAACAGGGTGATTTGTAAAATTCAATTACTACAAGTCATCATAGAAATGAACAACAATCAAACACATGCACACACACTTATATCGCTAATTAAAAACGCCCGCACATACGAAAGAGCGAACATCATAAAATGCCAAATTGTAAAGTCATATGGCAATAGTCGTCGACAAATGCCGATTGTTTTTGTTTTGATACGGTGAGAGAGAGTGATAACAATATGGCGTTTTTTATGCACTTCTCTTCTATTTGGCCGTTTTTAATTTTACTAGTAACCCTGTTGTTTGTTCATGGTGTAATTACAAGCATGTCACAATGTGCAAACAACAGGGTGACTTGTAAAAATGCTATTACTACAAGTCATCAAATAAACAATAGTCAAACACAGGCACACACACATATATCGCTATACAAAAAAGCGCCCACCTAATGTCATAATGTCATATACCAATAGACGCCGGGAAATGCCGATTGTTTTTGTTTTGATACAGATAGGGAGTGACAACATTATGGCGTTTTTTGTCTGTTTGTCTAACTACTTGGTGTATTTTGGCTGTTTTTAATTTCGTGGCATGCATACATGTCACGATGCTCAAACAACAGGGTGACTACCAAAAAAATGCAATTATTGTAATTTATCAAACATATTTGGTCTGTTCCCGTACTGCAAGAATCTACTAGATTTTACTATTTTCTTCGCTATCATTCGTTAACGTAGTAAAAAGTAGTAGATTCTTGCAGTACGTGAACAGGCCAATTGTTGTGAATTTTGCTAGCATTTCTAAATGTCTAATAACGGAAATATTGTGAACCAACACAATTATTCGATTGTGCGTGCTCTATTGAAATGTTTTAAAGTGGCTGGGCCACATTTCAAATCTATAAATAAAAAAATGGCAATACCACTGCTTTCTAGCAGGGAAATAATTATATTTAATTTTACTTTGGTATCTTCCGGGCATAATTATACAAGGAAGTCTAAAGCAGACATATGAATGAAATGGCTATTATAAGTTGAGAACAGTGATTTAAGTCTGCAAAAATGTGGATCGGTATTGTTTACATTCTGAATTGAGTTTTCGAGTGACATTAGTATTCCTTTCTACCAATAAATTTCTATGTGGTTTTTATTTTCGATTGCTGTTAAACCGCATTTACATTTACAACTTTTTCTGGGTTAACCTTCTCTATGACGATTTATTTGATAAACGTACTATTACCCCGAATTATTACAATATTCAATATAAATTTAAAAAAAATAAATTTTTCAGCACCTGTCATATTTTTTGAAGGTAAATATTTTGATTTAACATATGGAAAGATTGAGTGTATAGTTTTTTTGTCGTGATAAAAGCTCGGTTTATTTCTTTAAATTTCTATTTAGCCTATCGAAAAAAAAAATCGGATCAACATGTACGAAAAAAAACACCAAAATCGGATTTTCCGAACAACATTGAAAATTCAATCGGAATTCTCTTAAATTATTAGCATGAAAATGGAGACAGAAATGGCCAACCATCGGACCAATTTTTTTTTTTTTATCTATGTTGGTTGGAAGTATCCAAAACGCCAACACTGATAATAGCATTGACATATCTTCACTAATTGCTTTGTGGTATGATAGCGGGAAAAAAACTTTTGTTATTTTGAGATTTATACTAATTGTGCAGTTTATACTCCCTATAAATTTATGACTTAAAGCTTCAGCCCATGCTCTATTAAAAAAAAAAAAATCACTATTTTAAGGCTCTTAACGGTATATTTACATTGTATTGGATTTAAATTGTCAATTTCATTGTAAATATGTGAAAAAATCCTCATAGGGTGGGATTTTTTTAGTTTTATTGAATGAAAGCAAAAAATGTCGGAATAGCATCAACTTTTGGAATAAGTTTAGATTTTCGTGATGCCACGGTCGATTAATACAAGCGGAGAGCGACCATTGGCTGTTATGGCGGCCCAAACCATCACCATGGCTGGCGCTTGAGTTCTGATGGCCAATCGAAGGTGCACATTTTCATCTGACCTCTTTGGCAAGTAAACACAATCATTTTTTTGTTTACAAACTGGTGGACAACGAATGTTTTCTCATCGTAGAAAGCCAAAATTCGCCAGTTTACCACTTTTGGCCAAGCGAATATACTCTTTAACTCTTTTGAGTCCATTTTCTTTCTGCTGCGGTGTAAGTTTTTGAACTTTTAGGATTTTCAATGGTTTTTACCCCGAGCTGATCTTTCAATATTTGCCGAATGGCATATTGCGATATGTTCAGCTCATGAGCCATTTTTCGGCCACAGCGACACGGGTTTCGATCAAGTCGTTTCTTTACTTTTCAAATCATTTATGCTGATGTTGCTGTTTTCTTCCATCCACTTCCTTGGCATCGGGCTACGCTACCAGTATCACCGTAACAAGCGATGGTACGAGACACAAGATTTATTCACGTTTAAATGCTGGAGTACTCTAACGATAGCCACATGTGGATTTTTCAGCCAAATATACTATCACGATTGAATTCCATCACGAATAACTTTTTTTTGGAAAATTCACACCAAAATGAACGCTTGTAAACACTGTCACTGGAATAATTTTAAAAGCTGTCGGAAAATTGTCTTGGAAATGACAGCAGTTTGAAGTTGATTGTAGTTTTTTCATGTCACCCTGTAGAGAAAATTTAATCAAGTTCTTTCCTGATTTCTCAATATATCTATCCAATATTTTTTTAGTCCTATCGTATCTTTGCTTCCCCTACAGTAAAACTACCTCAAAATTCTGAATCCAGATTTTCATTAATAAAATATAAAATACTAAAAAATAAAACAACAATTTGTGTATAACAAAAAAACTGTAAAAATATGATCATTCTGTATTTTTGTTGTTTTGAATTTTTAAAAAAACATAAAATTTTTAATTGTATTACAATTCAATCATATATTTTTTTTGTATATATTACATATGTATAAAATAAAAAAAAATAATTATAATATAATAATAATAAAAAATCATGTATACGACGACGACAATGCGTAAAAAGTTTATATATTTAAAAAAAAATAATATACAAAAAAATAGTAGAAAAAAATATAGATGGAAATGTTAAAAATTAACAACAAATGCATAGCTTTTTTTTTCTTCAGAAGAAATATATACATATATAGAATATATAGGTTTTCTTTTTTGTTGTTGTTTGATGGGGGCATATATATATTTACATATATGTATATATTGTTAAGGCATATACAAAAAAAAAAAAACATATTTGCATTTCTGGGGAAAGGGGTCTTAATAAAAATATATATGTATGGGCATGTGGGTCGACGAATAGGAAAGAAAGTAGGAAGGTAGGTGGTAATGCATGGACATGTGGAGGGTGATTGCTTTTGATTTTTTGTGGATTGTGGTGGTGGTGGGTGGTATATATTATGCATGTATATAGTTATATATAAAAGTATATAAATATTATTTTTTTTTTACTTTTAGGATCAAAACATTATTACTCTGCTTATGCTTATCTATTTAGTTATATATTTAATATTATTCAAGTACTAATCGCGTAAATTTTTAGCTAACAATAAATTGTTGTGATGACCCGACAAATGCCGGACCAACTCTTGTACTGATTCGAAATACATTGAACAGAAGCAGCAACAATATCGCGTGTCATTGTCGCTGCCATTGGTGGTAATGACATTTCTATGAACTGAACACAAATGTTTTAGTAAATGGGCCTTTTGTTTGAACATCGCAATGCAGAGGCGGCAGGCGAACGGCTTCTCACCGGTGTGCACCCGCAGATGGGTCTTTAGGTTCCATGACATGCCGAATTGTTTGCCACAGTATTCGCAGCGATATTCACGTACCGAATTCTGTGAGTTGCCACCGCCGCCGCCACCTCCTCCAACGCCACTGCCCGCTGAGCCGCCGCCGCCACCACCACCACCACAATTGCCGGAGGAATTTTGATTACTGGAGCCGTCCAGGCTTAAATTAATATCCGCTATGGATGTAAGACCCGGTTGCAGATGTGATAACGATGATAGATTCGAGTTGTGGTGGGTAGATTGCCATTGATAGACCAACTGTGGTGGTAATTGTACTGTCTTTTCAGGGCTGCTGTCATGTCGGGTTATACTCTTTTCCAGGGCCAAACGATTTTGTGGTAATATATCTGCCGGATTTATCACCCCGCCATCATCCAGTGGCAGTAACATATTTTTATCAGGTAAGTAGCCGGACATGGGTGAAAGGGCCGATTTGGCGGAACGGAATTCATCGAGCAGATTTTGTTGATAGGAAACGAACGGTTTGTGGCTGGGCGAGGAGTGGAAACCAGGTCTACGTTTTCGATGTGGTGTCACAACATAATTATCCGGTGAACTATTCAAGTCGCCATGTTCCGAGAGAGGTTTCAAACAATCCTTGGCCGAGTCCGAGAACAAAGTTTTACGTTTGGCACTTTCCATAATGTTAAGGGTCTCATAGTCCGGTGGAGAATAACTGCTTTTGCCACGGAATATATTTTTCATACTGTGTTCGGACTTTGTGCGTATACCCAATGAGAGATTGACCGGATTTAGACCACCACCTATGCTATTAACATCCGACAGATTATCCATATCTTCTTGGTTATCCTTGGTTTTCATTAAATCCGCTGTACTGTCACTGTCGATATTCAAATTGTCATCATCATCGTCATGGTTTTCTTCCGAGGCAGCATTCTTTTCCGAGTGACATGATGAGGGTGGACTCTTTTTGATGTCATTGCCATTTTCACTTTTCAGCTTTTTTTCACAATCGGGACTTTCACAATCGGAATCGGATAGTTTGCGATTATTTAGGTTGTGGGGAATGTGATGAGGTGTGGTATTGCCGAGACCGCCACCACTACCACCTCCGCCCAAACCTAAGCCTCCTCCACCACCGGAACTTCCTCCTCCTCCACCACTTCCGCCCACCACACTATTTGGTGTTGCCACGGGTGTTGTATCCGTGGTCTTCCAATTGTCCGATTTAATTTGCAACAACAACAATAGGTCATGTAAATAGTTGACATCTCGCGATGTTATGCACGTCTGGCCCGAGTATAAGAAATCCAATAAGAATTTAAAATACGTTGCATTCACATCCGGGAAATATACTGTTGTCATGCAATCATAAAGCTGTGTATCTTCCAGAAGATTTCTTCGAGAGAAAGAACGGAGAATGGGGTGGAGAGAAAAACGGAAAAAATAAAATAAAAAACAGAAAATTAAAACAAAACTCAAGACGAAAAGAAAAAAAAAACAGTTCTAAAAAGTAAAGTGCCAAGTTGCGCAAGTATGTGCATATTTAACACTTGGTCAATAAAGTATGCGTACATCGGATATAAATATTTTTTTCAGGCTGCACATCGATTAGATAGGCCGTTCACTAACGAGGATAAACCAAAAGCCGTTGAAAGAAGATACGAATATGATTTCACAAAATGGCGCCCAACATAGCACATTTTTTTATTGCCTTGTCGATAAAAAAAATTCTATTCATAAACGTGCATAGGGGTTCCTCTGTTATGAATTGACTTGTCCATCGACTGGATAGGCCATCCACTTTACGGGACAGGCTGTCTATCGATGGGATAGGTCGATCACAGACGAGGATAAACCATTCACATATGTGAATAGATATGAAAATGGGATTCGAATAGATAGGTCATCGGCAGATTAAACCATATGAGAATATGATTTCATAAAGTGGCGCCCAACATAAAGGATATTGTTTTTTTTCTGTCTAAAATAAAGTCTATTCATAAACGTGCATAGGAGTTCCTCTGTTATGAATTGACTTGTCCATCGACTGGATAGGCCATCCACTTCAGTGGACAGGCCGGCCATCGATAGGATAGTCCGTTCACAGACGAGGATAAACCATTCACAGATGTGAATAGACCTGAAAATGGGATTCGAATAGATAGGCCGTCGGCAGAATAAACCATATGAGCATATGATTTCACAAAGTGGCGCCCAACATAACAGATATTGTTTTTTTCTGTCTAGAACAAAGTCTATGTATAGGAGTTCCTCTGTTATGAATAGACTTGTCCATCGACTGGATAGGCCATCCATTTTAGTGGACAGGCTGTCCATCGATAGTATAGGTCGTTCACAGGCGAGGATAAACCATTCACAGACATGTTTAGACCCGACAATGGGCATGGCTGTCCATTATTGACTGACAAATTAAATCTTGAGAAGAATACGGTTATACAAAGTGGCGCCCAATATAACACGCATTTTTTTTTTTTTTTTTGTATGGCAAAAAATAATGCCATTAATAATCGCGCATAGGGGTTCCTCTGTTATGTATTGACTTCTCCATCGACTGGATAGGCCATCCACTTTAGTGGATAGGCTGTCCATCGATAGGATAGTCCGTTCACAGACGAGGATAAACCATTAACAGGCGTGAATTATCCTGAAAATGTGATTCTATGAACTGAATGTCCATCGACTAGAAAAAAGCCGTCGGCAGAAATAAACATAAATCGGCAGAAACATTTGTGGGACACAAAGTGGCGCCCAACATAAAAGACTATTTTTTTTTGGTCTAGAAAAAAAATCTACTCATAATCGTGTGTAGGGATTCCTCTATTATGAATTGGCTTGTCCATCGACTGGATAGGCCATCGACTTTAGTGGACTGGCTGTCCATCGATAGGATAGCTCGTTCACAGACGAGGATAAACCCGTCACAGGCGTGAATAGACCTAAAAAAGGGATTCTATGAACTGGATTTCCATCGACTAGATAGACCGTTGGCAGAATCAACAATGGTTCCACAAAGTGGCGCCCAACCTAACAAACATTATTTTTTTTCTAATATTTTCTACCAGTAAGAATTACTTTTGTGCGCAAACTTTATCGACCAAGTGTAGGTATGTATGATTGGCAGCAACAAAAAAGCAAAATAAAAATTGTATGAGTGTGTTTACCTAATTAACGGACTTGCCGCTGCCAAGACCAGCTTGTGAGCATGCAATTTAACTTTATTCTCGCAGACAATTGTCAGATCGGCGGGGTGTTCTCCACGAAATGCGGCTCCAATTTCTTTAAGAATACATTCGCCATGTTTGCTGTATTGCAACATCAACATTCTCGGTACCTGAAACAACAAAAACAACAAGAAGAAAAATACATTAAATAAGCAACAATGAAATACCACACAAACGAAAAAAAAAAACACAAAAACTGAAAATAAAATGAAGAAAACCAAGATTAATTTTCAAGCTACTCTCCCATACATTCACACTAGCAATAACGAAAAAAAAGAGTTTCACACACAAGCACACACACACACACTCTGATATTATTATAGTAAAAGGCCTTGGATTTTGAAATTATTACCACAATAAAAACGTCGGCGATGGCGACTACGACGACGACGGACGACTATGAAGACTTGATCAAAACTACTTTCTAAAAATGGCTTACATCTCTTTTCTCGTTTTACTGTTGTTGCTTTTTTTCGTTCACAAGCTTAACAGCAACTCTTGTATTTACATACATACAAAGAAATACAAAAAAAGTTAAGCAATCAAGCCAACCAGTCAGTCAGTCCGTCAGACAGTCAGCCAACAAGCCAATAAGTTAGTCAATACGATGAATAACCCTTCATACCAGCCAGCAGCCACAACAACGTTCTACATTCACTTTTATTGCTTGACGTTGTTGCTGCAGCAATAAGAAGAGAGTGTGTGCTGCGTTTTTTATTTCTTTTTTCATTTGTAGGTGTTCAAGAGGATCGTAGAAATATTTCATCATGTTAACCCTCTCTTAGCTGTGGAAAAAATTATGAAAATAGGATCTAATAATTCCTTGAGAAGGAAAAAATCTTTTAAAATATTTGTAGCTTTGGACATCGATATCCAGTTGAAATGCATTCAAAGTTCCCTGAAAATGCTATGGTTCCACAATGTGGCGCCCAACACAAGTGACTTTCTTTTGTATAGAAAAAAATCCATAGCATCTCTGGTATGTCCATTTTAGTGGGCAGGCTGACCATCGTTTAGATAGGCCGTTCCGCATATATGAACTGGCTCCCCCCATCGACTGGCCTATCAAGTCCACAGATATCGTGAGAAGAATATAGTTTCACAATGTGGCGCCCAACATAACATACATTACTTTTTATATAAAACAAACACAAAAACTATTAACCAATGTTGTGAACGGCGAAAAAGAACGTTGAAAAAGAACGATGTAAACATGCCCAATCTTGACATGCTTAATTAAGTCATAGAGGTGTATAGGAGTTCCTCTGTTATGAAATGACTGTCCCTCGACTGGATATGCCGTCCATTTTAATGGACAGGCTGTCCATCGATAGGATAGGTCGTTCAATAAGGAGGATAAACCCTTCACCGTCGTGAATAGACCTGGCAATTACCATGCATAATTCCGCTTATATGAGCTGACTGCCCATCGACTGGATAGGCCGTCCACTTTAAAGGACAGGCTGTTCGTCAATTGGGTAGGTCGTTCAGTAATGTGGATTAACCATCCTCCGGTGTTAATTCATTCATCAACCTGACTATTGTCAATGATAGAAGTTCCGCTGATATTAACAGGATATTCACTTACTGGATAAGATGTCCTCTTTCGTGGGTTTGCTGTCCATCGACTGGATAAGCCATCCACTTTAGTGGACAGGCTGTCCGTCGTGTAAAATGCCCTTCCACCAGCTGAATATGCCGTCTGCTTTCCTTGAATGGGTGTACTTTGAATGAATAAGCCGTTAAGTTTTGTGGATTAACCACCTTCCAGTGTTAGGTCATTCACTATATAATGGGCATGAATAGTAGTACCGATGATATAACCTGGATAAGACGCCCTCTTTCGTGGGTTGATTGTCCATCGACGGGATAGGTCCTCTCTTTGTGACAGGCTGTCCATCGATATGATAGACCATCCACTACAGAGGATAGGCTGTCCGTCATGTGAAATGGTTTTCCCACTTCTAAATATGCCATCTGCTTTCATGGACTTGGGTGTACACCTTTGTGGGCTGGCTAGCTTTGAATGGATAGACCGTTCTCTAACCGTAATAAGGCCCTCACTTTCAGTTCAAAGACTCGTTAGGCTGTACACATTCATGGACGAATACCCGATAGATAGGTCAGTCACCAATGGTTTTAAGCCATTGGCTTTCCTTTGAAGACTGGCTGTTCTTCAATAGATAGACCATACACTAACGGTGGACTTGGTTTCTATTGAGTGAATAAGCTTTCCGCTTTCGTGGACTGGCTGTTCCTAATGGATAGGCCATTAACTAATGGTTTTAAGTCGTTAGCTTTTGTAGAGTTGGAGCCTTTTCGTTCAATGGATAGACCGTTCAATAATGCTGGTAAGCAGATCACTTTCAGGACATCGATTAGATAGGACATTCACTAACGCACAGTCGGGCGAACCACCGCACGCGTGCACTCTCGCGAGAGTAAGTATCACTATTCTCTCACACACATTCAACTGAACCAATTGAAAACCCATTGACACACACACAAAGACAAGTGCGTGGATAGACCGTTCCACTAGATAGGCCATTCACTAACGGGGATAGCTCGCTTATATAAACCATTTAGTGGATAATACGCCCCTATCGTGGACTGGGTTTCCATCTATTGTACAAGCCGTCAGACTTCGAGGTGTAGCTTTCCATTGGCCATTCTTCGAAGAAGTTCGGTAATCTCGTGCCGACAGCGGTCTTTTTTTTTCTTATACTGACTGTCCTTTCTTATACTGACTGTCCTTCTTGTACTGACTAGGCCGTTCTTTAATGGGGCTAAACCATTCACTTGTATTACATCGACTAGATAGACCATTACCTAACGGCAATAGATTGCTGATATAAACCATCTACTGGATATGACACCACATTTCGTGGATTGGGTGTTCATCGATTTTGTGTAGTGGCTTTCCATTGGCCTGAAACGGTTCGATCGTTTTCGATTCGCTTGGTTAAAAGGAGTTGGGGTCAATATTTCAACCCTGAAACAGTTTGATTTGCTTCGAAAAAAGGGCAATGTAGATCAACAAAAGCAAAAAGGAACGACTGGAGCAAAATGAAATGATGGATAAACAGAAGACCGTACTCCACCTAGTACCTTACAATCCTTTGCGGAATAGTTACTTTGAGCTAGTTCTCCGCAGAATGACCAAAATCTGTTCTTCGACGAGTATAGGTCGTCCATGGAGAAAATTGGTCTGTTCATCTGTTGAATAGATCTCCAAGACATGGAAAAGTCATTCCATATCAAATAATGGTTAAGGAATTTCATTTAAGGCCTTTTTATCGGGAGAACAACCTCCGACATTGGATTACCTATAATATGGATTAAAATTTCCGCAAAATAAATAAGAGATAAGGCATTTGCAAAAAAAGGTTCATCATAGAAGTCTCATTAACCCAGATAAAGTGGATAATGGATACCCATGATAAATACTTCATCATTTTGAACCTTCCGAAAAAATAAAGGGTTATTGATCGATCTCATAATTCAAACGGTTCGGTCCCAAAAATGACTTTTTAGTCATTTCACAAAAAAAAACCTCCGGCCATGAAGACAACAAAGAAGTGAAGCAGGTAGAACAATATGACGAACCAACGAATATCTCATACACACATATATAATATTGGCCAATGGATCCTGTTTTGTGTACGTGTGTTGCTGCAATAAACCCACAATCCAAAAAAACAAAAAAAAAACCGAACATTGTGGGTACTAATGAAATTGAAAGCGTTCTTGAGAGTTTACGGTTAATCAACTTCTTCCACAGCACAACAGAAAAAAAGAAACAACAAAAAACACAAAAGCAAAGAATAAATGACACACACAAGCCATCGAATTTACTCAGAGATAGATACAAATTTACATGCGCATGAGCAAAGGCCTTCTCACACTCGCTGCCTCTCTCTTTCTTTGTTTCTGTGAAACTCATGTGAGTAGCTTTTTTCTTGTCTCTCCATGTTCCACAATCTCTTTGTGTGTAATTCAGCTCTTTTTTGGAAATGAAAGCTTTTTTTTGGATTGGTGAAGAAAAAACAACAAAACTCAGATTCTTCCGTTTACTTTTATCTCAACTTCTTCTTTCTGTCTGTCAGCTGCATTAACTTTTTTATTTTTGCTGAGGCTTCTCAGTATTCCTTTCACGAAGCCGAACCGAAAAAGCTTTACAACAATTAAGTGGCTGGCTGTGTGGTTAAAGTTGACGACGGTGACGGCAACGATGTATTACGTATGCGTAAAGGCAGCCCCAACAAATTCACATTCACTGCTCACACAACACTCACTGGCAGACGGAGGACGGACGGACCAGCCAACCAATGTGAGCTATACACAGCCACACTCACGGCTGCGCTCTAAAAACTCAAGTACAAAAAAAGCAAAAGCAGCAGCAACAACAGAAGACAATCCAAGAAAAAGAAACGAAAAATGAAAACGAAAACTATGATATGAAATTTAGCACACACCAATACAATAACAAGAAAGACGCGCGCACACACACAAACACAGAGATGTATTCACATACAAAAAATGCTTTGAAATTTTTATTGAATATTCAGACACAAACGAGCGCGCGCACACACACACAAGCATTGGGGCTTGGGGTTATTAAGTAATCCCCCATGAATTGAATGGTCGGATGGATGGATGGATGGCTGGTCGGATGGTTCGTTGGCTACACTGGTTTACTGAGTTTTTGTTGCTGTTGTGTTTCTTTTTTTGAAAATGAAAGTGAGAATTCATCGTTTACATAGTTTTTTTAAAAGTTATTTTTAGCTTACCAAGGTAAACACGCACACACACACGTTCACGCATACAGAGAGAAGCGTAGAATAACAATAACAACGGGAAGTTATAAAAAAAAGTATTGTATCTGTAACACTAGTCTGCGGCGGGAATGTCGTTCACTGTTGTCATTTTTTGTTAACCGATTGTGAAATATTTTATTAGTGGAAATTTTTGAAGAGATACTGTTACTATTATTTTTATGGGAATTTTTTGTATATGGTGTAATTTTTTAATAAAAAATAACTGATCTTCTCTATTGATGTAGGCAGACCTTCAACTAAGCCAATTTTGGCCTAAGCCAATTTGTTCCCCA